CAGCACCTTCGTTTCATTCGACAAAAGAGACAACCAATTACGCCCGCTTATGCAAGCTTCTGGCGGCTGTCAGTGCACATATCTTGAGAGAGACATTTGAAAAAAGGCGTCCACCAGGAAACCTGGACACAGTTTTGTCCAGTCCTCCGATTCATCGAGTGCTAAAATCACTCCGAATTAAAAAAATTCTCAATCCTTCACAATGGGACAAACTGTACCCCTCCATCAAGTCTTCAGTTTCATCAAAGAATTTCGATATCACACTACTGAATGTCCTGCTGAGGACCATTTGTGGTCTTGCTCCTCCGGCTACCGGCTGGAATACACTTCCTCTTGCAGCAGACATAACCCTTGAGGCAGATATCGTTCGTATCAAGTGCTACAGAAACACAGTTTATGGTCATGCCAGCGAGGCCTCAGTTGATGACGCAACCTTCAATCAATACTGGCAGGACATCCAAGATGCATTGGTGAGACTGGGAGGAGCTGGTTACCAAAGTGCTATCGATGATCTGAAAAATGAATTCATGGACCCTGATTTCGAAGAACACCATAAAGAGCTTCTTAAGCAGCGGGTAGTGTATGAAGTCAGCATCAAAGAAAGATTGGAGACAGAGCTATTAAAGGAAGCAATCGCTAATCCTCCAAAAAAGTTTAAAGCAGGAGACAAAGGTAAGTTTGTGTTAACGGTAAAATCTGTACACGGCTTTTTGATCTTTCTTGAGAAAAGAAGAAGATTTAAGGGCCTCTCATCAGAGGGTAATAAGCAATTTAGCAATCAGTTCATTTCAGTATTATAAAATGCCCACCTTTAAAAATAGCTCAAACTCGGAGAAATATCTTCCACTGGAACTGACCCCTTCCTCTTGGACCCAAAATTGGAAAAAGACAAGGTGTTGTCTTTTCCATGTTTTTTTTGGGTGATGAGCAAGTAAAATTTTTTTTTTGTTCCTCATGCGGGAAGTAAATAGAATTGATAGTTGAAACAGATTCACTACGAAGGTGATTTGCACCAAAAAACTGCAGTTAGGTCTTACAGTATTTACCTGGTTGGGTTCGTCGAAAGAAAGAGATGGAAAAAAACTAAAATTCTTAATGAACTGGAGATGACAGGGCGCTTTCTCTCCCCTAAGTGTACCTAGGCCATTCTTAATCTCCAGCCGTAAAAACAAAAACCACGTGTTTTCTGAGTCAAAGTTAGTTTCTCCCGTACCACAAATTCCTGGATCCGCT